ATCAAGATTCGCTAACAAAACAAACAAAGGTGAAGGCTAAACCGTATCCATCGAGCCGCAAAGCCAAGCACCCCTAGGACTGTCTTCAATGGTTCGTCGGTCCTCTCAACCGACGGTGGTATCCCCGTGGACTACGAGGATGGAGAAGTTAAAGACGAGGGCACCTCGTCTTCCCTGTAGCTTGAGTCCAAGCCCGCGGCTGGGAAAGGGCTCGCTGTCCTCGTGAAGATGATTCGGACGCTTCCTCGTCGAAGCGTCCCCGAAGTGCAAGTGATGCAGTGCCTTCCAGACTGGAAGCACTTGCCATCACTTCGGAGCGTGATGCCACGCGCACTGACGACTCAGTGCGCGAACATTGGATGCCGTCCGAGAGGGTCATCGAGGACCGATACGGGTCTATGGTTCCTCCGAACGAGATTCCGTTGTACGTCGACAATCGAATTGTCGAGGACGCTGAAGCTACTGCGAAGCACTTCGAGCCGATGACGAACCAAAGGCGAGATTACTACATCTCACCCTTTCACGATCTCCGGTACTGGAGCTCGAAGAAGACTTCGGGGCGAAGCAGAGTGACCGAGTGGCAGGCACTCTGTCAAAGCTGGAATCAGTTTGTTGCGAACTTCAACGGAGATCCGGTAGGTTATCGCGAGCGGATTGCTTCCGCTCGTGAGCGCTTCATGAAGTATTCCATTACTTCTGTCGTCCAGCGCATTCCCGAAGGTTCCGTGAACGCGAACATTCCTTGTGCAGTGCCGGAGGACGTTTATTGCTCGCACTGCCCCATTGGTGCTCCCCGCATCGGCGAGAGAGACCTCACGGGGTACACGACTAACCGTGCAACCGCAAACGTTAAGGAGCTACGTGCTAAGCTCGCTTGCACGCGTCAGCATCCTAGTGTTGTGCCTGAGGACAACACTCCGCGAAACACCGCACCCCGCAGTGTTACGCCTCCAGTCCATGGCGGGCTTCGTACGCCTTCACCATTTTCGGGGTAACCACGTATTTCGAAGGAGACCCGATTGCCTCCAACGAATACGAAAACGAACCGACCTCGGTTCGTCTTCGGACTGGTGTGGTCAACAATCCGATCCACCTCGCGGTGGATCATACCGCGGACAGGGTTATGTTTCTGTCGGCGGTGCCGGACACTCATCATATGATCAACCCCAGGTTGACCATGGTCTTCAGGCGCTCCACGCTCGCGTAAAGGCTCTTGAGAGCGTTCAGGCTGCTTCGATCGCTGAGCTGAAGCAAGAACAGAACTTGCAGAAGGCCTACGTAGCCGAAGCCGCCCAGACCACCTCATAAATCCGTGTTGAGGTGTCGGAACAAGTTCGTCTTCTCCAGGAGAAGGTGAAGAGACTTGAGGAGACGTTGAGGGTGCCCCGCGTGTCGTCCTCGGCAAGTCATCACGAATAGATGACTCGGGCTGCACGTATGGCTTCAATCGCCCTACGTAGAACGTTGGATGGAGTCTCATGTCGGAAGGAAGTTCCAACGTGTATGCGCTGCCGTGACGTTCTGTCACCGTGAATAGCCCAATGAAGCGCGGAGCAAGCTTGTTTGCTCTGAATCCAGAAATTGCATGAGTAGGCAAGTTTTGCGTAGATAATAAAACAAAAGAACCAATTTTGAATTCATTTGTATTACCCCTGCCAACATTATCTGCGTTCAGCTTCTGCCAATCCGCAGAAGCTGCATTTATGTTATGTACAAAGCGAACGACTGCTTGTCGTTCGTGGACAAAGTCTATTGCTTGAGACCTGAACCCCGGGTCTAGCTCATTGGTCTTGTCCGCGTCTGTGCCCTGCACAGACTCGCCACTTGTAGTCGCATCAGTCCCTGACTGTGCGTGGCTCTTTGGGATGTCAGTGCCCGGCACTGACACTTTGTGTGTGATCGCAACAGGCCCAGCCTGTGCGGGAAGCTTCTCAGTATCGATGCCCGGCATCGATACATTACTTGTGTGTGCAACAGACCCGGCCTGTGTGTGAGTTTGCTCGGTGTCTATGCCCCGCACAGACACATTGTTCTTGGTCGCAGCAGGTATCGCCTGCTCGTGGTTCTTCACAGTGTCAGTGCCCGGCACTGACACGTCGTTTTGTCGTGTGCGGGCTCTCGCTCTCGCACGTGCCATCGAAGCTGATAGGTTCGTATCAGCTGTATTCTTTGGTTGTTCGTGCACAACCGTAGATCCTCCCCCACTAAACGAGGAAGCCACCGCCCCGAGTGTACTCGGAAGACGTGGATGCCGTATGGCGTTCACGTAGAACGGTGTATGCCCCGTCGAGGCATGCACCGCGTTGTTGATGGCGAACTCGGCCATCGGCAAGTAGTCGCTCCAGTTGTGGAACGACTGGGCATAGCTCTTCAGCAAGTCCACGAGAACGCGGTTCACGCGCTCGGTTTGCCCGTCCGTCTGCGGATGATTTGCAGTCGACATTGAGAACTGCGTTCCAAGAAGTGTGAACACTTCTTGCCAGAAACGCGCCGTGAAGCGCGGATCGCGGTCCGACAC